TGTAAAATAAGAGCCAAGCAGTAGGTGACATTACTTTCTTCTTGTCTTTGCGGTATTCCTTGAACCAATATACGATACTAATAAGCCGGACATGAAGAAGAATGTATCAACGGAAAGAATGCGTTAGTCATGAATTGTGTCCACAAATTTTTAAATGTATCCTTACAATCCAAGAAGTTTGCTGAAAATCGATATTTGATAAGTTCAAATTAAAACAAACTATATGGCTATCGTTCCAATTAATGCCATTATTGCTCTTTAAATTAATCAGCAATTAAATATTGAGGATACAAATTCTGGTGAATAAATGGCTATTGTACTTCGCAATTACAATTAATTAAAATTACTAAAGAAGAAACAGAATTAGACAATTTGCTGAAAATCGATAATTGATAAGCTCAAATTAAAATAAACTATTTCAAGTTATCCGTAATATATATCGAATCAAACTTATACTTACAACTGAACATCATATAACCGGCTGTTGCATGTCCAAAAATCACCCACATCATGCTAATGAAACGTATAAAATGAATTGATCCTATTTGGCCTTGTTTATTAGTAGACTCGATATTGAATATATCTTTGGTATTCTGGATCACAGAAAATGCCATTAAGCAGGAGAACCAACATGCTGCAAATAAATGTTGGACTATCTTTGAATTCATTCTACGACACAATTGTTGGTAGACCTCTATGAATTCTCAAACCACATATATTAAGCTATTCCTGATAGCAGTCTCTGAAATAGTTTAATGTAAAGTATATAACATATATGATTTAAGCATGACATTTAATTGTCATATGAACAAGAATTACCTGTTTCATTACCAGTTACTAATGAAGCCACTTCGTGATAATCGGGATTAAAATAGATCATAAACAAATCCCATGCAGTTGCTAATATGGCTATCGTTCCAATTAATGCCATTACTGCTCTTTAAATTAATCAGCAATTAAATATTAAGGATACAAATTTTGATGATTAAGTGGCTATTGTACTTCGCAATTACAATTAATTAAAATTACTAAAAAAGAAACAGAATTAGACAATCTGACTTTTAAAGTGATAGAATTTTTCGATGATAATATACGATTGATACAATCACCATGTCTTATCGATGTGTCATGGTGTCGGTGTCCTCAGACTTGTGGTATCTAGTTGATTTGATTAAGCTTCAAGAATACATCTTGTTACACTTCTTCCACGTTATTTTTAGTGAATTATAGCAATGATGTTTGCTTTAGTAATTACAAATATTGATAAAACATACAGTACAATCCACGTCTTGTAATCGATAGGTCTCAATCGAACAGATGTTTGTTTTACAGTACATACGGGAGTAGAATTGTTAAATTGAACCACTGAAACAGAAAAATTTCGGAAAAAAAATCCGAGATTCTTACCACTTTATTCTCATCTCCTAATTTGTTTTTCAAAAAGTTAATGATTTTACTGTTACTGTTGAAAAGCTTGAAATGAGACTAATCAAAACTTTTCTCTTTCACAATTACAATAGTTTCTTAAAGTTAATCCTTTGACACATAATCCCTTAATTTATTTACTTATTTATTTTTTTCAAATGACCGGTCACTATTATTGTCACTTAACTCACTGCATTGTAATCTTAAAAATGCATCTCATGAAACAAATTATGCTAGACATTTTATGAACCTTATTTTATGGCATTCGATGACATTTTTTGACATTTCATGAACTTCATGGAGTAAATTGAATAAAAATAATTGGAAAAAAAGTTTCACACCAAAAGTGGAATTTGGTTTTTCTTAGCGTTTTGATTAATGAAAATGTCGATTAAAACAAATGAAATTTTGAAGATTTTCAAGAAAGAAAAGTATGCTAAGCACGTTACGTGAACGACTAAGCGTCATCAGCGTGTTGTAATGGTCACATGATGAGGGTCAGACAAACGTCAAATGATGGATTGTCGAGACTGTATCCACTGAATTTGCAAGCATCTGTTGTATTGTGATTCCTTAACTCTTTATCAATAAAGATCCTGAAAATGCATTCCATCTGGTACTGATGACTGTTTTTTTATTTACAATCATTGAAGAGAAATTAAGAGTGAATAAAGTAAGGAAAGGAAAAAAGAAATAATGAAGTGCAAA